CCCTTCCTTATATACCAAGATTTTCCAAACTACAATCAGTTCTGAAGAAGGGTCACTGGAACAAAACATTAACTCTCTTTTCTCTTCACAGAAGCTGCCAGACCTGCTGAGTTTTTCCAGCAATTTATTATAGGATATTATAGGTTTATAAACAGAGTGACAGAGTATAAAAGCAAGGAAGTGATGCTTCATCTTCACAAATCATTGATCCGACCACATTTTGGAGTATTGTATTCACTTCTGGACACTTTATTCAAGGAAGATATTAAAACCCTGGAGAGAGTTCAAAGGAGATTTACTAGAATGATACCAAAGAACACAGAACAATACAGCACAGGAACAGGCCCTTCGGGCCTCCAAGCCTGTGCCGACACATTTTGTCCTTCCATACCAGAACTGCCTTCACTAACAGGATCCATATCCCTCTTTTCTCTTCCTATTCATGTATTCATCCAGGTGCTTCTTGAAAGCTGCTATTGTGTCTGCTTCCAGCACCTCCTCTGGCAGCGTGTTCTAGTTCCTCATCACCCTTTGTGTGAAAAACCTGCCTCACACATCTCTCTTAAACATCCCCCCTTGCATCTTGAATCTGTGTCCCCTAGTAATTAACCCCTCCACCCTGGGAAAAAGCCTCATACTTTCCACTCTATCCATTACCATTCACAATCTTATAAACTTCAAATAGGTCGCCCCTCAAACTGCTGCTAAAATCCCCCATACCAGGCAACATCCTGGTAAACCTTTTCTGTACCCTCTCCAAAGCATCCACATCCTTCTGGTAGTGTGGTGACCAGAACTCTACGCAATATTCCAAGTGTGGCCTAACTAAAGTTCGATAAAGCTGTAGCTTAACATGTCTATCCTTATACTCAATTCCCCTTCCAATGAAGGCAGCATGCCATAGGCCTTTTTTTACTACCTTATCTACCCGCACTGTCACCTTCAGTAATCTGTGGACCTGCACACCCAGATCCCTCTTCATATCAATACTCTTAAGGATTCTGCCATTCACTGTATAATTTCCACCTGTACTTGTCCTTCCAAAATGCAACACCTCATTTCTATGCAGATTAAACTCCATCTGCCATTTTTCTGCCCATGCCTCCCAACTGATCTCTATCCTGCTGTATCCTCTACAATCATCCACAGTATCTGCAACTCCACCAATCTTTGTGTCGTCCACAATCTTTCTATCTAGACCAGCTATGTTTTCTTCCAAATTATTTATGTAGCTCACGAACAGCAGAGGTCCCAGCACTGCTCCCTGTGGAACACCACACATCCCAGCCCTCCATTCTGAAAAGCATCCTTCCACCGCTACCCTCTGTATCCTATGACCAAACCAGTTCTGTATCCATCTTAGGAGCTCACCCCAATACCATGTGACTTCACTTTTTGTACCAGTCTGCCATGAGGGACCTTGTCAAAGGCTTTACTGAAGACCATTAGACAACATCAACTGCTTTTCCCTCATCAAACATCTTCGTTCCCTCCTCAAAAAACTCGATCAAGTTATTGAGGCATGAAACAAAAACAAAGTTGCTGGAAAAGCTCAGCAGGTCTGGCAGCATTTGTGAAGAGAAAAAATCAGAGTTAATGTTTCAGGTCCGGTGACCCTTCCTCAGAAGGTGAGGCATGACCTCCCCTGTACAAAACATGCTGTCTATCACTAATCAGTCCATTTGCTTCTAAATGCAAATAGATCTTGTCCCTGAGAATCTTTTCCAATAATTTCCCTACTACCAACGTGAGGATCACAGGCCTGTAATTTCCTGGATTATCCCTGCTACCCTTCTTAAACAATAGGACAACATTGGCTATTCTCTAGTCCTCTGGGACCTCGCCTGTGGCCAAAGAGGATACAAAGACGTCTGTCAATGCTCCAGCAATTTGTTCTCTTGCCTCCCTCAATATTCTGGGATAGATACTATCAGGACCTGGGGTCTTATCTACATTAATACTTTTTAAGATGCACAACACCTGCTTCCTTTTTAATAGCAACTTTGCTTAGAAATTCCACACTCCCTTCCCTGAGCTCATCCTCTACCAATTCCTTCTCTTTGGTGAAAATCAACACAAAGTATTTGTTTAGGACCTCCCCTACCTCTTCTGGCTCCATACATATTCCATCCCATTTTCCCAATTCCTCCGTCTCTGTCGCATCTGCTCTGATGAAGAGACATTCCACTCCCAAGCATCCTGGATGTCCACCTTTTTCAAACAACATTCTTTTCCCCCCTCTGTCATCCAGACAGCCCTCCACCGTGCCCCCTCCATTCCCTGCTCCACAGCTCTTAGCCACCACCTGCCCCCACCCCAAACGTAATAAAGATAGGGTCCCCCTTGTCCTCACTTCCCACCCCACCGGCCTCCGCATCCAACACATCATCCTCAAACACTTCTGCCAACTCCCATCAGACCCCACCAACCAGAACATCCTCCACTCCCCACCCCTCTCTGCCTTCTAGAATGACCATTCCCTTGGCCACTCCTTAGTTTGTGCCACAGTCCCCACCAACCACTCCAACCCGCCCGGTACCTTCCCCTATAACTGGAAAAGATGAACACCTGCCCACACACCATCTCCCTCATCGCCATCCAGGGCCCTAAACAGCCCTTCCAGGTGAGACAGAGCTTCACCTGCATCTGCTCCAACCTCGTCTACTGCATCCTGTGCTCTCTACATCAGCGAGACCAAACATCGACGAGGTGACCATTTCACCGAGCATATTCTCCTGGCCCGTAACAGCCAGCCTAACCTCCCAATCATTGCCCATTTCAACTCCCCTTCCACCAACTCTCCCTCCCCAATCCCCCTCCACCAACTCTCCCTCCCCAATCCCCCTCCACCAATTCTCCCTCCTACGTGTCCGTCCTCAGCCTCCTCCAGTGTCGCAGTGACTCGGAACGCAAATTTGAAGAACAACACCTTATCTTCTGCCTGGGCACCCTACAGCCCGGAGGACTCAACATTGATTTCTCTAATTTCAAATAACCTTCCCACCCATTCCCCTGCTTCCCCTTCCAGCCCCACCTCCTCCCTTCCATTCCACCTTCTGACCCTCCCTTCCATCTACCAATCAGATCCATCCGTCCCACTGACTAACCAGGTCGTACCGACCATCAGTGTCCACCTATCATCACCATTACATCCCTTTATCTGTATCTCCCCCTACCCCTATATCCATTCCTAAAGAAGGGTAATACCTGAAACATTGACTGCTCCTTTCCTCTAGATGTTGCCTGACCTGTGTTCTGCTAGCCTCCCATTTGTCTACCTGGGTCCCACCATCTGCAGTATTTTTTGTCTCCACATATATATTCCCTCCTTTGTCCTTGAGTGGGCCAAACCTTTCCTTTTTCCTAGGACTTTAAACTAGTGAGTTGGGGGGAAGGGAAAGGGAAAACGACAGGGAGTATGATGGTAAATAAAAAGGTAAGCAGCAGGTTAGCATGTGTGCAGGAGGGTTTAAGTTCAAGGCAGACTATGAAAGAAGCAAAAAGGAAGGATAACTCAGGAGATATTATTAGAGATGTTGGAAATCATGAGGGTAAGAAAGCTAGCATAAAGGCACTTTATCTGAACGCTCATAGCATTTGAAACAAGGTTGATGAGTTAACGGCACAAATCATCGCGAATGAATATGATTTGGTAGCCATTACGGAGACATGGTTACAGGATGGTCACGACTGGGAGTTAAATATCCAAGGGTACCAGACTATTCGGAAGGACAGACAGGAAGGTAAGGGAGGTGGTGTAGCTCTGATATTCAAGGACGCCATCAGGGCGGTGCTGAGAGATGATATAGGTTCTATGGAGAATGAGGTTGAATCCATTTGGGTGGAAATTAGAAATCCTAAGAGGAAAAAGTTACTGATAGGCGTAGTCTATAGGCCACCAAATAATATCACATTGGTGCGGGCAATAAACAAAGAAATAACTAATGCCTGTAAAAATGGTACGGCAATTATCATGGGGGATTTTAATCTACATGTAGATTGGTCGAACCAGCTCGGTCAGGGTAGCCTTGAGGAGGAGTTCGTTGAGTGTATCCGTGATAGTTTTCTTGAACATTATGTAATGGAACCAACGAGGGAGCAAGCTATTCTAGATCTGGTCCTGTGTAATGAAACAGGAATAATTAATGACCTCATAGTTAGGGATCCTCTTGGAAGGAGTGATCACAGTATGGTTGAATTTAGAATACAGATGGAGAGTGTGAAGATAAAATCCAATACCAGGGTCCTGTGCTTGAACAGGGGGAACTACAATAGAATGAGGGAGGACTTGGCTAAAGTAGACTGGAAA